ATTCGGTTCCTTTAATGCAGCTGCTTGTAGTGTATTGCCATAATCGCCACCCTGAGCATTCACATCTGCCCCACGCTGGAGAAGAAGTCGCACAACCGATTCGGTTCCCCTTGATGTAGCTGCTTGTAGTGCATAGCCGTGCCGGCCACCCTGGGCATTCACGTTTACCGCATCCTCTTTCCTGTTGACCAGTAACTTACAGGCCGTCACTAAATTTAATAAGGAGCAATAGTAGATTGCTGGTGGATAAGTCCTGGAAGCCAGGAGATCAGACTGCCAGGGATTGTCAGGGTCATACACATCTAGCCAGGGCTGGCCGAGCTCGAGGACCTTTACCGCGGCCTCGGAGAGTGGAGCGGGTGCTGTATCCTCAATTGATCTATAGTAGGTGAACCAGTGGCGAGCGCTGTGGTAGAGAAATGACGTTTTTTCGACTTTGTCCCCGAGTATAGTACCTGGTCCGCCATGCCGCAGTATTCGACTGAGACAAGCATGCCCCATCCGTAAATTGGCCTTATCCTCCGAAATATGATAGTAGGCACTCGGGCCCTGCGCCGCCCGGTCTAAGATCAAATATTCCTTTACCGAGAAATGTGCTAGTCGTAATCGCCGGCTTTCCTGGCTGGAGGATTCCCCGTCCCTGGCGTCTTCGAATGAAATAAGGCTAGGGCAAATGCTCATCAGGGAGTTTGTGTCAAAAAGATTTTCCGAATCCTCGCCATACTTGTTGACATCGTATTCTATCACCATGGCCTCGGCGAGCTGGCCTAGGGTCAGTGGTTCTGCCGAAAATGCTAGCCAATCCATCGCTCGCCGAATATACTCCTTCTGCTTCTTAGGGATAGTATCTAGGATCTTCGCGTAGATAGAATCCAAGTCTTCCGGGAGTTCCCTCATTGCGTCCCGCACTGATTTTGGTGTTATGCATTCTTCCAGAATTCGCAGGAGACAATCTACCCATCGGAACCTGAAAACACGAGCCACAAGGTTAGCATAAGTGGAAATTCAATGGGCGGGCATAACACACATTCCCTGAGAACCCGCAACTAGCGTTTCCTCTATCTCACTTTTGATTTCTTGTGTAAACTTCTGGAAACCATCCTTGCTGACTAGAGAGTTCCGTATATATGCACGGATATCCGGATCGATAGTGCTGGATTGTAGCGATATTGCAAAAGCAGTATGTGGTTCCAGTGATCTCGCTATATCGGCCTCGGGACGGCTAGTGACGAGAATCGAAAGTGATCCCACATGATCCACCGTGAGCTCGCCAATCCAAGACAAAAGGGTCCCGCGGATGGCCTTCGGAAATTCGTCCAAGGCATCTAAAATGATAAACGTCTTCTTCGCAAGCTTCGTGATATTCGAAAATACGGTTTGCAGATCTTTTATATCTGGCAACATTCCAATTGCCTTAGAGTCGTGGTATAGTTTGATAATCTCATCAGGCAAGGCCAGGTCGGAACGCCCCCGTAGCAGTTGGCCAATGATGGATAGAAGCATATTCACCAAATTTTGCTTCCCCGAGTCACTGAATGTAAAGTAGAAATAGGCTAATGCGTGATCGTCATTCGCCTTGCACAAATTTTTGACATCCTCGATAGCGGTAGCGCTAAATAGTGTCAGCAATCAGGAAATCATATTGCACCCTTCGACACCCAGTTGATTTCGCACCTTAGGACACTTTTTCCACATCCGGCTACAAGAGAAAAATATTAATGACATTCCTAGAAGCATAAGATTTCACTCGTCTGTGGACTCACGTATACCGTGAAGCCAGAGAACCTTTCCTTTACCCGCCTTCCAATCCATATACTCCTGCCCATTGAGCAGCCAATTCCCTGTACCCTTTTCACGAACGGCAAGTGCAGACGAATAATTGGCGCCAGGATCAACAACATTAAGCCAATTTAGCACTTCGCGGAATTCTTTCTCTGGGATCGTAAAAACATCTGATATTAGTAAATAAGTTAACCAGCAGGGTTAGGGATATTGTAACCAAGTACCATCTAGTGTTCGTAACATCTTTGTTACCGTCGCCCTGAACAACTAGTTAGTCTTGCCACCCCCCAAAAAAAAGGAAATGGAGAAGTTAGCTTCTCCTGGTACGGAGGAATTGAGGGTTTACGTTGTGGCCGTAGTCAACAAAAGTTGAAGTTTTGATCTCTGAACTTCAACCAAGGCCAGGTAACGCTCCATTTTGGCCTTATGAAGCGGCCAAAAAAGCTTTCTAGACGATTTCCTCCACCCCGGGACATCTAACCTTTTCTCCAGTTTCCCGAGGGCGGTTGCATAACCTTTCAAGTTTTCGTTTTTCGTCCATTCCAGAAGCCCAGGGTATTTTGGGTTGTTCTCGTCACCTTGTGCAGCAAGAGCCTGGATTTCCTTCAGCTGCTCGCCAATACTCCTGATCTCATCCGCTAGTCTCTTGAAATCATTTTCGCTCTCCTTAACTGCATCGCGGTATTCATCGCAAAGTTGATAAACCTTGGCGCCGAGGTGAATGAGGGCCAGACCACTAGCAGCAAGCGAGAAGGGTTCCGCCATTTTCTTTCTCACGAATGTTGTGGGTTAAGAGGGGGAGTGCAAGTTGCTTTGAGAGCTCGCTATCTTTCAATAGGGAAAGAAGAATAAAGGTCGGCCTTCAATTCAGAGGTGGGTCCTCGAAGCTTGGGGAGCTTTTTTTTTTTTTGCTATGCTTTCAGATAGTGGATTCGGGGATGAGGCGGGATACAGCAACTACTCGTAGAGGGAATCCTTTCGCAGCAACCCTTCTTAAGAACCCCAAGAGCGGGGCTCCGAAATGCGCAGCGCTTCTACAAGCACACAAAAACGGCAACTGCATGCCCAGTGGCTGTCTGCACTACTGCAAGCCAAGTATGATATTACCCGAATATATCAGCCCCCGTGCTACCATTTTGAGCAAGGATTAAATTTCTTTCCTCGCATGGGCTTTAATGCCAGTCGGTATGCGGCACAGTACTGTCTCCCTTTATGGGCGGAAGGCGCAAACAACCGCGCGTGTTTTGACTAAGTTGATGGTATCGGAATCAATACGAGCACGAGTATGAGCACAGCACACGAGTATGATACTTTTACTTGTACGAAGTACAGCCCTTGAATCGTCATACTGTAAACTCCCCATTTGAACTACCGGTATCACGAGTACTTGGGCCATGCGGTGCAGAATTCGATAGGGCAATACCGCAGTCAGGTTTACCGGCCTACTGCTCGGGGGGCATTTGGTTGCCACCACCAGCCTCAGGCTTAATCTTGCATCGATATTTTCAGCTTTATGAATCTGGTGGCGGGGGTCCCCGGACCGCAGATACAACATGGTGCAAGAATTGAACACAAATATTTCATCACCGGTGGACCGAGGTGGAAACCGGGAGTAAGGAAAACCGCTCTAACGGCCATCTGTATGGGGCGGGCGGAGTTTCGTTACGAAATACCTGTCGTGGTTGGTGTCCCGTAAGCCACTGATCCAACGTTATAACTTACCCCCAACCACCAAACACTGAAGGCTATCCTTGATAGATACTAGCAGGATATATACCGTAAAAACCGAAATAACTGAGAATAGCGCTAGGACGTCCATAATTTTCCCCATCGGATTATGGTGGAGAATATGGCGGACGAGCCCCCTTCATCCCCCAATTGAGATAACAGACCTTACTAGAAGAAGCAACTCCAACGTCCTAGCGCGATTCTCAATTACTTCGGTTTTCACGGTAACGCTCACGAAAAAGCCCTAGGTCCACTGCACGACCAAGCCCGGCAGGTCGCCAAACACTGGTACTCCCTATTAGCGACGAGCAACCACCAGAATTGGGACGCACGAAGCATGCCTTATACCCAATTCCAAAGTCCGAATTAATCCCAGCAGCTAATGAAGGAGGTTATGAGCAGTGTTCCCAACCGTCCCGGGCGCCCTGCAGGGCTTTGGCGGGCTTGTAGTCCCGGGCGTCCCGGGCAGGGTGGGTATGGACGGCAGGGCATGGCGTCTGTCTTTGATAAAGACCGCCGTCCGAGGGGTTGACGCCCGGGCCCGGGAGTCTTAATACAAATGGCATCTTCTGGACGTCATCTACTGGGCCCGGCTCTCATCTGCAGGGCCATTTACAGGTGAGGCACCCACAGGTCCCGGCCGGCCACCCCGGATAGAGGTTAGGAAGGACCACAGGACGAGCGTCCGTCCAGAGCAGAGTTCTAGGAACCGGCGCCCGTCCTGTCCGAAGCCAAGGGCGGATGGACTGGACGCTTGGGAACACTGCCCAACGCCCAATGGCAACATGTATCAACAAAACAAAACCAAAACCAGTACCCCCCGACTGCCGGCAAAGGATGTGAAAGCCGCATTCCACTACCGTGAACCTACCCCCGTACCTCAGGGCACGCACTGCAATCGAGTATCCCACCAACAGCATTCCCTGTAGCAATCCAACCTGTTTACCATTGCTATCATACTGTAGCTCTAAAAAAATTTGAGAAAAAGTTTGGTTCTGAGGTACCAAACAATGGGGAATCTATGTTGTATGATGAATGAAAAATTTCTTTTGTTGATTCAAGAGGTCCAAGGCATTATTAGTCCCAAATACCCCGTCCAGCTAGAATTTATATCTCCTCTAGCTATCTAAGCATACTCTCAATCTGATCCCTTAGTTTCTGGGAATCCCCCTGAGTCCGGAGTTGTATTTATAGCTGGGTTCGGAAACCTCGGAAAAGGAGAATTGATCCTCCATGTGTTTTCCCCAGGGTCTGTCCGGGCCTGGAAGGGGAAGCCGAAAAGGTGACTCCGCTAACTGACTACGCCTGAAAGCAAGTGTTCGGTTTGGGATCCGTTTTCTCTAGATGGCCCTTCTAGTAGCAGGAGGGGGTGCGCAAAATCAAGGAGAGCTAGACGGTTGGACGCGTGGAGGGCAAGGGGATGGTCCTGGGTTCACCAAGCGCACAATCTCCACGACCAGGCTGTAACCGCGCCCCGGAGCAACACCCCATCTTGGCCATCCAACGGTAAGGATTTGGGATTAGGGAGAACTGGGTAAACGATTTTGGTATTATCATACTGACTGTTGCGGAACGACCCACCGGAGACGCTAACGCCTGGCTTCCCAATGTAAACTTTGGGAGCTAATGTCCAGGTAAACTAGAATTTATTCCCCGACCCATGCTCCCTACTCTGAGGTAGGATACGGGAAAAATCCATAGCGCAAATTCATGTGAAGATCACCTAGTACATGCACTTTTTCTACCACCGGATTTTCCAAATAACAGGCGGCACATCAGTGCGGGGAGTGCCTTTCCCAAAGCTTGTCGGTTAGTCAGTCCCCGGATCTTCTCCAGGTTCCTATCTTCGGCGATACTGCAGCGGGGGTTCAGGCTAGCTTTCCAACTGCCCAAGATTGAACTCGTATCTAAGGCGAATTGCGCGCGAGAAAGAGGCTCTCTGAGAAGCTCGAGCACTAAGGACCCGTAAGAGAACAGCAAGAATGGATGCAATGCTACGATCCACATTTTATCGTTACTCAGCTTGATACTGCGTCCGACATCTCAGTATCGAATACTGCCCCGCTTCCGGAATCCGACCCGCTGCCGCACAGCCTAGGCTAGCGGAGAGGCTTTTACTACTTTCCGTGCCGATGTTTCTTATTTCATTTGGACCTCCATCTCTTGATATCACAGACATACCACTGCCGTCTCTTCGGTTCATACACCACATCTAATTCCCAGCTCCACCACTACAGCCTTCTCCCGTCACTTGCTGTGCCCTCGAATGAGTGTACGCCGATCTCCATCCCTTAGTGCTAGACTCCCCATACTCCTGTGACACGTCCGGGAATAGCATCTGACGCAGTGTCCCGGATTGTCTCCTCACCCGAATTATAATCTCTTCCTCCCCCTCCGAAGACACCGAATCCCCCACTCCTTGCCTCATACTTTTTCGATCACATAACTCTCTCCTCCTTGAAATACCTGATCCAGTAGAACCTCCATTCCGATTACTTACTCTCTACCTATATTTCTAACATAGGCACTGTTGAAACATGGCTTCTGACACTACCAGTAACGGATATTGTGGTATCGTTCAGACTATTACTTTTTCTCCTTACATCAATTAGTACCCCAGGCACACATCAAGACCTCCGGTACCATTGAAGATACCTCCTTGCATTTCTTGTTACTGTTCGCTCAACCTAATTGTCTCGCTCACAATAGTAGATAGCAAGAGCTTCTCGCTCTTCCTTTCTAGACAATTAAGCATTCATCGTTCTCTATCATACAATCTTCTTTGCCATGCAAAACACTCTTCACAATACTTTCACAATAGGTTATGAGCCTCTTGTAGCCTTCCATCTGTCAAAAACCACCCAGTACAAGCCTAGTTTCCTCATCTTTGTTATCAGAATAGTCCTGTCTATTCTATATTGCCTCTTTTTACAAGTCCTCCTTTTTCTCAGCTCCTTTTTTTTTTCCCATGTCACTCTCGAAATTGTTACCGGGGGCTGTGGATGATTCAGTCTACTGTTGCAAGTACGGTGAAGTGACCAGGTTCAGTCAATTGACCTTCCCACGGTGGTCTCAAGACCTTCAGTATCTTTTGCAAGGGGCTAGATCTCTTGAAATAGTACTTGGCCACGAGGCTGCTCCGCCAGCTAACTAGCATACCCGTCTCCTCAATTTCAATCAGCGTGCAAGCCTTGCCATTACGTTTATTTAGAACTCGTGTGGCCCTGAGGCAAAAGGCTTTCTTCATCGTATTCCTTACTTCCTGGCTGCAATGTGGACTGCTCTTGTGGCTGAGTTTGATACTGCCTCCTCTCGTGCAGGGAGAGAAGGTCTTATACACACATTCAATTGTATCAAATGCAGTGACTACTCATCAGTTAGTACTTATATTACAGCCTTGATGAATT